AGGCTGTGAGGAGAGGTGATGCTCAGCGGGCACCTTCCCAGGGGGACGCTGGGCACGGGCCCGCAGGCGGGCTGGGTGGTTGGACCCCAGCTCCGAAACCCACCGGCAGTTTGGTTCCTCCTGGGGGAAGGCTCCAAGGTGCCGTGCTCCAGCCTGAGCAACCATCACAGAGCATCAACACCCTGTCAGCCAACAGCCCCCCGGCACAGCAAACCCTGGGTGCATTCGGCGCTCTCTGTACCTGCCCGCTGCCAGAAATACATCCCCACGGCGGGCTGCCCAGCCCAGCCCCGCCAGAAGAGAAGCAGATCAAGGGCAAAGCACTTTGTAAGTGAAACCCTCTGGCCCTCCCAGGCTCTGTTTCAGGGTTTCTCCATGAAGGCTGCCGCAGGGACCCTGCCTGCAGCCACACGGGTCCCTGCCCGCCCCGGGGACACGCACCAGCGCTGCCTTCACAAAGAGGCACGGACGGTCCCAGCTCAGAAAGGAGATGTGCAGGGGGTAGGTCTGGCACAGACGCAGAAATCCTCCCATAATCAAACCATCCCGATACCCCTCAGCCTCAGCATTTCCCCGATTTCTGATATAAACCCTCATCTGGCAGCCAAGAGAGTAGGGGCAGAAGAATTGAGGCTGAACTGTGCGTGTTGGCAGGGCAGGGGTGGGCAAACCCTGCTCAGGGAAGCCCCTGGCACAGCATTTCTCCTGCACAAAACCACCTCACCCAAAGCCGAAGGGGCAAATCAGCATATGCTGTTCACTGAAGACAGATACATCTCCAAAAGCTTTGTTGGAAAAAGCTTTTGTAAAAGAAATAGTAAAAAAAAATAAAAAAATTAGCTGTTGACTTATTTTCCTCCAGGAGGGGATTCAAGCAACACAGCCCAGCAAAGGCTCGACAGCAGCAGGAATTGCACCCAGGCACTTGCTGCTGTGACCCGCTACACAGACCATCACTGGGAAAGCCGGCTGCAAGCACAGACTGGTTGTAATGGTTTCAACGGCCAGACTGGCCCTTCCTGCTGGTCCGCTTGTGCGCGAGTGTCAGGCGATAAAAAACACATTTAGCGAGACCTGTTTGTTAACGCCTGGCTGTCCCTTGGGGGAACAAACTGGTCAGAAATTGGTCAAACAAATTGGTCAGAAATTACATTTTCAGACACATTTGGGTGACTTCCTCACTCTCCAGAGTGCGTTCCCTCCAAGAAGCGGTGCGCTGACCTCGCCCTAGCAGAGTGCTGCTATTTCTCACTGAGCAGATTCCAGCCGCCTTATTGACTGTAACACGGCTGAAGCAAAGTCCCATTTATTCCTGCCAAAAATATCTCAAACCGAGAGACAAGGCAAGGCTGTGGGAGGTGGGGCTGTGCAGCCCGAAGGAGAGAAAGGAAGGATCTAATTGCTGCCCTCGGCTACTGATGGGTGAGGTGTAGTCAGCCTCCTCTCAGATGCACACAGCAAAAGGACCAGAGGGAACGGGTACAAGATGCAGCAACGGAAAAATTTTTTGTCCTGAGAGTGATCAAGCTCTGAACCAGGCACCCAGAAAAACTTGAGAAATCTCCAACTCGCGAGATGTTCAAAACTCAGCAGGACTGGTCCTGAGCCAGCCGAGCCAACTTTAAAGTTAGTCGGGCTTTGAGAAGGGCTTGGACCAGAGCCCTCCAGAGGTGCTCTCCAGCCTCGACTCTTCTGCAATGCTGATTTTTTTCCCCCCAAACCTCAGCAGTTCAGATTTCGGCTGTCGGCAGCTCAGCGAACACAACACAAAGAGGGGAGGGTGGAAATGTGGGGCAGGGAGGGGACACGCAGCACTGCCAACCTCTGGTCCTCCCCAGGCAGAGCTTCAAAACCAGATACCTTAAGAGTATGTTTGCAATCCATTAAGAGTAACAGTGTGCCCCAGGACGGGCAGCGGTCAGAGCTTCCCCTGCTTCCAGCAGAGCTGCATAAACAGGACACGATTATCTTGTAAAAATGTTTGTTTGCGCTTTTAAACCCACACCTCCGGTGTTACAGAGATCGCCAGCCCATGAAATGGGATCCAAACAGATATTTACATGTCCTCGTGCCTGCCGGCGGCTTCCTCCCAAACACAAAGCTGCTCAACGGGGAGCACAGCGCTTTTCTGTGACTTCGTCCCCTACCACACCTCCCTCTCCCAGATTCTCCCCCAGCACAAGCCATGTGGGACCAACATGCCTCAGGAAAAGACCAGCTCACAGGGGAAGGACGCAACGTTCCCCAGCTTGCTCCGGCCACGACTGCTTCGTGCCAGCAGAGTTTTGGTGCCCAGGCGGCAGGTCTGGCAGCAGAGCCTGCCCTCCCCGGCGTGGCCAGGAGGCTGCTCTGCTTCCATCCCTTCTCAGAGCAGTTCCTGACGTAGCTCCAAGCATCTTCAGCGGGAGCTACTTCCACACAAGCAGCCTGGGCTGGTCCCTGAACTCCCCTTTTGCCTCCAGGTGTGGAATAACACATGGCTGTGGAGTGGCTTCTCTTGAGATGAACTCAAATCCTTTCCTCCTGTTTTGACTGAGAACCCCTAAAAGCTTTGAGATGCTGCAATGACTAAGAGACAGAGTAAGGAGGTAAACAAAGGTAGGTGAGAATAAACTCCAGTGTCTTCATTCGTCTGGAGGATTCATTTACATCCCTGAGAACATCCTGTAACATGGCATCTCCCACCATCACCTGGCAATTCCACTCCCAACTCCCAGTGACAACTGTCACTCCTAACTTGATAACGCTGCTTGCGTCTGGCTTTGGAGGAGACAAAGCATCTCAAACACGCTATTCATCATTTCCAAAGCAATCTCCCTGCCTTTGTGCCTTGCACATGCAGCGAAAGAGAACTGCACAATTCTCAGTCTTAATTGCCAACTCAGTTGTCGAGAAGCAGCGCACAAAGAAGGAAAGCCCGGCAGTCGGGAATTGAGACACTGCAAGCAACGGCTCGCAGGGCTCGGCCCGCTGCCAGAGGAGTGTAAAAGTGTTGCCATCAACTTCTCTACCTCTTGGCAGCATTAGTTCCTTACAACAAGACTGCAGCAAAACGCCTGAAATTCCGTTGCAACCCAGGGAATTGGGTTCTTCTCTAAAGCCCTGAAGCACCCTGGTGTGCTCTGCACGCTTGGCCTTCTGGCAGTGGGCCACTACAACCCTGTAGCTGTGTGATTTTTGGAATTGCTGCCCCCCCAGATCCAGTGACGTCTTGCAGCACCCCTCCTTTGTGCCATATTCCCCCCAAGAGACAAGGAGGGTCAGCCCTGGGAGGGAGGTTTGGCTCCCTGGTCCTGAACAGGAATTCACCAAGCCCCTGAGCGCAGGAGAGGAGGAGAATCCCCTCTCGGGTGTTGAAGCACAGCTGATGAGTGGTGGTTGGGATGAGTTTGCACGAGTCCTCCAGTTGCAAGGAGGAGTCTTTTTCTAGCCCCAGTGCATCTGGACACGAACATCCTGGCACTGCTCTGAGGGGGACATGAAGGGCAAAGGGAAGGAAGCAAGTTCCCTCCAAGGGCTTTGCCGGCAGTAGTGTTCAGGACATGCCTTCGGGTACCGCCGGAACAGGTCACTCTTTGATATCTCTTTGAAGCAATGAAAGCAGGACACGAAAAAAGAGCGAAGGCAGTCTGATGGACACTGAGGGCACATACAGATTGCTTGTCACAACATGCCAAGAGCACTCAAGCCTCAGGGATTTAGTTCCAGTGCAGCCACCCGATGCCCATTTGCAGCCTCCCACATGCGCAAGCCCTCGCCTCACGAAGTGCGAAGGCAACGACCCACAGGATCCAAGTGTCAGCTCACGAGAGCACCGGCACCGGGGCCACCCGGAGAGTTGACACACCACTCATCACACCGAGACAAGCAACGCCAGCCCTGCAAGTACGCCAGGACTCTGCCTCCCAGACCTGGAGACCAAAGCACGTGCCCGGCGCAGCTCGGCACCGGGGGAATGCTCACGCCGATGCCCCTGCCCTGCTCCCACAGCACACACCTCCCTCCTCGGCTTCCCCGGCGGGGACCACGCCGGCTGGTCCTGGCTCGCTGCCGTCTTCCCCCAGCCCACCAGTGAGATACACTAAGACACTGAAACGGAGGTGGTTCAGTCCTTCCAATCTTCCAAGCAAGTAAAATTCCCCATGAGCACGAGCTTTCTTACAGGGCTAATTTGGACTGGAAACCGGAGCTAGAAACAGCACCAAATTACATCCTAGAAGATATACAGTACACAGTCACAGGTGAGGCAGTTTTTGCCAAGAAGGAAGACAGCATGGATGGGCTGCAAGACTGAATAGATGGGGGTTAAAAAAAAAAAAACAACAAAAAAAAAAACAGAAAATGGAATGAACAGAACAAGAACTGAATTACTGACATATGCATCCTCATCGTAACTAGGGGACCTGGCTTCTTCGGAAACACTGTCATTCAAGTGCAGTGTAAAGCGTTTTTATCCTCCTGAAAACCAGCTCATTTCTGTCTGTACACATCAGCTGTGTGCTCGCCGAAAGAGGCTGCAGCATTTTGTATGGTAGCTGCTTTTTTTTTTTTTTTTTCAGTTACAAATAAATCATTCCTCAGATAGGGGCTTGAGCATCTCCTCTTCCATGCAAACATGGTGCTTATGTACAGTGCATACTGTGGCGTTAGCAGTGTAAATAAGCTTCAGTTTTATACCTCACAGATAAGGCGCAGTGCAAGTTCCCGGTGTTGTGTGGCAGCCCCACAGTCTCAGGGCTGCCATTCAGACAGGCTTGTGGCATATGAAAAGACAAGAAGCACTTATAAAAAATTTAAAGGAACTAGCTTTCTTCTGCTCCAGCTACCTATTTCATAATACAACTTCGGAGCCGGTGCGGCTCTGTAACGTAGCTACCAGCAGGATATGATCCACCACCCCTCCAGCCCGTGGTGGCACTAATCCTTTCCCTCTCATTTAAAAGATAAAAGGTGCTGCCTCCCCCCGCAAAGCCCCACGCACCACCGCAGTCCTGCAATACCTTTGTCCGACATCGCTCCCCAAGGATCCCATCCTCCGAGCCGGTAACAAGGGGCTCACCCCATGGACATCTTCTGTCGTCGCTGGTGGGACGGTTTTTACATGGGAATTGCTCTCCGATGGGGAATTCTTCAGCTTGGCTCTCGCCATCCTGCGAGCTTTGGCTGCCTCTCCGACTTCCTCCTCTTTCCCCCCGAACTCTCTCATACATAGCAACCCTCACCGCATTCAGTTTAGAGCTGTCGGCATGTACCATCTCCTTCCTTCTTCTCTCTCCCCACTCACGGCAGCTCAGTGGAACAATCCTGCCCTGTACATTTATTTTGGTAGTGAGGGGAGTCAAGGCAAACTCTCTGGCCTTGCTGCTGCAATGAATTTGGTGCAAAACAGCTGAGAAAACATCCACAATGCAGAAATCTCTGAAATGGCTTTGTTTAGTAAATAATGTAATTGCCTTGGCTGCCTCCTTTAAAAAAAAAAAAAAATGATCGCCTTGCTCTTATCACCACAAGCAGGGCAGGGGCTGAGGGATTATTTTTTCCCTATCCCTGCTTTCCAGTAGCAACGTGAGGGGGAGGAAGCTATTTTATCTTATTTCTCTGTGTAAAGAGCAGCGTGTGGACTGCATGCCAGGGAACAGACTCAGCGTGCGTGGCTCACAGACACAAAGCAGCAGAGCGAGGTCCCCTCCTAAACACACCCGCTGGGAACAGAGCAGAGAGGAACTTGCTGCTGCTTCCCACGGCGCTGCCAGTCACTGCTCACCTGGCCGGGCTAGAACAGCGCCCGCAGAGGTGCAGGCCACCTGTCCCTGAACAAGCCAGCTTTCCCTCTTCAGGTGAGAACAAAAGGTGCTGCTCCTTCAACCCTTCAACATGCTTGGCATCGATTTCTCAAGATGTCAAACAGAAATGGGAATTCACCGTGACCAGGGGAGCCCTGAGTCCCCCAGTGCACAGGTGGGACTGGAAAGGTGGGCTCGTGCATCCTGCCTCTTTTGGGGGATGCCACTGGTCCATAGCTGCTCCTGCTCGTGCTCAGAGCATCAACAAAGAGCATCTTCAAGCAGGACATGAGGGTGCTGCAGCACGCTGGGCTGGAGCTGCTGCTCCAGGGCTCACCACCACATGGCAGCACCCCATGGCATGGCCTCACTGCATGCCAACGTCACCCCACGACATGCCAACGTCACCCCATGACATGCCAACGTCACCCCATGACATGTCAACGTCACCCCACGACATGTCAGCATCACCCCAGTGCTCACCACTGTCGCACAGCAATACTACCCCACTCTACGCCTCAAATAACCCCCCTTGACTGATCACCAGTGAGACATCGTGACATGAAAAGCCAACACAAAGAATTAAACCCCACCGCAGGATTGCTTTAAAATGAACACGAGGCACAAAGACCCGACATATTGATCCCTGGGTCTTCCCAGAGGTTGGGAAAGGACAGCTCTGTGAGGTAAGGGCAGGAGCTGCCCGGAAATGGGAAATCTGGGACCCAAAGGACTTCAACTTTCAGAACAAAAAGCCGTCGTTCTCCTCTGGCACCAGCTGCGTGCCCAAACCACACTGCACACTCCCACACCGCCACGAGGCTATCGGAGCACGCGGCACCACCGTCCTGCACCAAACTCTGGGGAGAAAAGGCCGGTCCTTTTCCTCCTCTCTCTTACCAGTGATCTGTCAGGCATGGGCTCCGCTCGCTGTCCTCCCCGCTAAGATCGGTACCTGACCAGGACTGACCCGTGACACAAAGGCAGGCCCTGACTGCTCTGGGAAGACAAACCAAGTCCCTGTTTCCTGTTAACCAAACCCTTGTTTCCCTACTCAGGGCATTATTTCTTAATGGGATTTCACCATAAAACATACTTTATTTCAGCACTTTGAAATGTAAAATGGATAAAAACCCACAGCCCATTTACTGTTGTGCCAGCTCTCAGCATACACTTAATTTCTGCTTTTGCCTCAAAATGATTCATTAGCTCAATGCATTCGTTTTCTAACAGAGTCATTCCTCTCTGCTCCATGGCTTGCTTCAGCCTCATCTTCAACTTATCGCTCTGTATCTGTTTACTTCAGGGAGTTGTTCTCAAGCCCCAGCCATAACTGCTGCTGTCAGCCCTCCGGGTTGGACTGTGCCTGGTGAATCCTCCCGGACAACAGGAGTCCCTGGGACTGGGGCAGTCGGGTCTCACTTTTAGGGAGCTATTAGCAAATTCTACACTGTAGCCTGTTCCTAATTCCAGAAGAACATTAATTTCAGGGTTGAGATTAGATGTGAAAAGGGGTTTATGCTTAAATTACAATCGCGGCAGTAGTGCCATCAAGCAGCATCACTGAACAGAAGAGGTAATAGGGAAAGACCTGGGGAATTTTCACAGAAAATGGAAAACTCTGCCATCATACTTCTGCTGTAGGGTAGGTGGCAAAATTCATATTGAGGAAACCCTTGAGAAACTCGGTTCCCACCTGAGGGATACTCTACATGAAGATGCCTTTTTTGTTGAGCGCTTAAAACACAAACGACGACACGAAAACCAGAAGAGAGGGGAGCGATCTGACGCAGGGTCACGAGAAGCTGTGAACAAGGCTGCTGGTTTGAGTAGCCTTTTCCCTTCCAAGGGGCAAACGGGGTTGCCTTGATGCTGAGGAGAACCTCTCCGAGGCTGGATAATCCCACAGAGCTACTCAGATCTGCGCCAGGCTGCTGAAGTGGTTCCTTCGCTGCAGTTCTGTCAGAAAAAAATATTCCTCTCTCAGGCAACACAATGTGTTCCACACTCAACCAAAAGACCTACAGCCCCGGCAGCGTCTCTCCCCGCAAAGCCACGTCCCGGACAGTCACCGAGCACCGTCGTGTCAGTAAGAGCAGTGTAAGGAGAAGAAGTAAAGCAGGAACTCGGAGGAAAGGCAACGCAGAGCTGTCTGGGTCACCGAGCCACCAGCAGTGCAGGAGAAGCAGCCTGGTCCTCTCAGCTGGGGGACGGGAAGGCAGGGCACCGATGAGAAAAAAGGGAAGATAAAAGCACTTGAGCGCTGGGCCGCTGGCGGAGTACGACGCTGTCTGTCGAAGGGTGAAGGACTGCGCTGAACGGATAAAGCTGCTTTCCTGTAACTCAGAAAGTGAGGGCTGTTACTTAAGAAAAGACTAATTGCAGCTCCCTTGTGCTGGTGATGCCCGTTCACGGCTGTCGAATAATGCAACAGGCAGAATGCACCGCTGAGTACATCCAGAAGGCTCGTTCTTGCTGAGAAGCTGCACGCTCCTAGAAAGAGCCGTGGCTGTAAACGTCACCCGAAGGACAGCAGGGTGAGCCTGCTCTGCGGGGACGCGCTGCCTGTGCCCCCAGACACGGTACGCGAGGGTAAACCACATCAAACACCTTGTTCGTACAGCGCGTTCTCCAAGGGAAATCCAGGAGGGGAAAATCAACAAAACACAACATCAAAGTCTGAAGAAGAGTTCCTCTAGGCCCAGAAATATTTGCCCAGCTAATTGAATGCCAACCACCTGACTATAAGCCAGGAAATTGATGTTTAATTTTAGTTTGAGAGCCCATTACAAAGTGCTGATTTCTCATTTCAACGTCTGCATTATGCAGAGACCACTGCTGTGCTGGGGGCTGGAGAGATGCCTGGGAATTGCTGAGCAGCAGTTGCAGTGGTAATAATATTTCGGAAAATAATATTTCGAAAGAAGCAGATTTTTCATTAGTCATAATTGAATCCACAACAACTGCGCTGTTAAATATTCTCCTCTCATCCAGGTAGCTTTCAGTCCCAACTGCCAAAAATCCTTTTATGCACTTATTCAACTTATTATATAAAGCATGATCTAGGTCCATTATAACTAGTTGATGAACCAGCAAGGGGTTGGGGTTTTGTTGGGTATTTTTTTCATATTCTTCCGGCAAACAAACCTGCTATGTTGAGATACAACCCTAAAAGTGTTAGTGTGCAAAGCCTTCTGTAAAAAAAGCCAGTTTAATATATTTTAAAATCTTGAAAAGTCACCCTGAAAGGCATCAGCTACGGAAAGATACTCCCAAAGCCGCAAAAGGTTAACTCGTGTAGGAGAGAATGTTTTGCTAGAAAAGTCCGTGCTCATGACCATGTCAGCATCTCGTGAGAGGCTTTACCAGCCACGGCAGAGCTGCTGCTCTACGGGAGGGGCCGCGTCCATACAAATACAGCAATAATTTGAGGGACCCCGAGCTGAAAAGTCATTAAGGCTCATTATTATCTCTCTATGCACCCACTGGCGAGCTGCTCTAGGACAATCCCCTTCCCATCCGGGCTGCCAGCCCCTCGTCAGGCCGCCTGTGTTGGCTCTGCCTTTGCAGGGCAGCCCTGACCTCCCTTTATTTATACTCCAAGGAAAACCGAGGTCCCACGCAATTTTATTACCACTGCAAACACTTACTATATTTCAAAACCCCAACAACTGCAGTAGCATGACATTAATGGCTTTAATAAACTTCAGAGCCCTACTAACGCCTCGACAAACGTTACAAACCTCTCTGGCCCGGCCATTTGCTTAAGTGTTTTTCAAGAAGCGCACGCGCACCAGTTTTTGCCCTTTCGTCGCCAGGGAATGCCCTACATTGTCACAAGGCATCTTTGCAAAATCGCTTTTCAAAAGCTGCCAATGTTGTGAGGTTGCCAAGGCTCACCCACAGCCCTGCAAAAACAACTCCACGCCCCACTGCGAGGCTTCAGCAACCAGGCTGGCGCTGAGCTGCATCAAGCAGCACTCTTTAGGCACCAGCAGAAGCACCCCTCTTCAACAGAGCTGGCTGGAAATGTCAGTATTCTGAGGAAATGTAGATTTATTTTTTTTTCCTGTTTACTAATTGCTCTCTTTTACAATGGGAAGTTAAAATCGTAGAAGACAGAGCTGCTTCTTCCTCACTAGAATATTTTTTTCCTTTTACATTTGTTTCAGCCAAAGCAAGAAATTTGCCAAAAAGAAAAAATATGAAAAAATAAAAAGTTGATGCTCCATCCTCCTTCTTTGAGTAGGAATAGGCTCTTCCATCCCGGTGGGGTGCCAGTGCTGCTCCTTCACACAGGGATGAGGTGGGAGCACGGACACAGCCAGAGACCCCCGAGGCCCCCAGGAGCCCCTCACCTGCTCTCCTGAAGGGCACACTGTGCACCAGAGGGGCCCGAGTAACTCTTTTCCTAACAAGATGGGTCCTTCAGCCCATATTTTTGGCTATCGAACAGCAGGTGGAGTTGC